ACAGGCATGCTAGCACGGAGCCTAAGTCCTCTCCCATGCAAAGCCCATGTTCCTGCCCGTGGTGCAGAGCACCTCAGCACGGGAATGCCTTGCACCCCCCATTGCTTCCGAGCGCCTCTGCAGGGTCAGAGACTGCCTCGGCAAGGGCCACCATGCCAGAGCCCGGTGTGTACAAGCACTGCAGACAGTGAACACACAGCACTGTCTGTGGACTGGGAAGGACTGGTGAGATAGAGGGGGAAGGACTCACAGCCATGGGAGAAGAGAGCAATCTTGAGGCAGAACCACCATACGCTTCCACCAGGCCACCCTACTGAAGGAGTGACTGCCGGGCCTGCGCGTGTCAGAGCCCGCTTCTGCTGCTGGCACTGGTGTGTGTGCACGTGTGCAGGGAGCTCAGTGTGGGCTGACAGCCCAGGACACAGTGCTGCGCCGACGGGGCTAAACTCTGCGACTGAGGCTTGCCCAGGGAAACGTGAAGTCACCATTGGTATTTTAAGCAGTGTAAAGTCTCCCCCTCTCCCAGAGGCCAGGAGAGAGCTGGATGGCCTGCTCCCAGCTTTCCCCAACACTGGAGAGAGGGGGTGACAGGTGGGAGAGGGAGAGCGAGGCAGCCTGCAGAGGCAGTCCAGGGAGGCGGAAGCACCCTAGTGCAGAGGGGAAGCGCAGGCCAGGTGCACAGCAGCTGCTATTCTGCTCTCAGGGCTGAGGCTTCCTGGCCCATGTGAAGATCTCCATTAGCTGCAAACAAACTCTGCACACGCACACGCACACACACACACACCCTTGTCTCCCCTCATCTTTGTAGCGGTGGCAGCAGATTCTAGGGGACGGCCACATGGCTCATTGGTTCGGGTTTGCATTCGGACGCAGTGGCCTCTCTGCCTGATCTCCCTGCACAACTCCACGGGGGGTGCATTGGCTTCTGGGTAATCACCAGCAAAGAGGAGGAGCGCAGCAGAGCCAGGACCCAGGGCAGCGGTGGGCAGGCAGGCAAGCTTCAACTCCAGAGCTTAGAGAGAAAGGCAAAGGGTTCCCCTAACTCACCAGCTCTGCCAGTGCCCATGTTAGCACAGGACCCTCATAGCTTCCTGCCCGGGCCCAAACCCCGCAGTAACACAGAGGTGTGCCCTGGGAGCGATCTTTGGAAAATCTGCCCTCTATCTCTCTGCATCTCAGTGCCCCCCTATAAAACAGAGCCCACCCCTCCCTGCATGCATGTACAGCTCCTAGCACAACGTGGCCTGCTCTCCCTCAGGCCCCAGGCACTGCTCTAGCACAATAAACAATGGAAGGGGCTCTGGCTAGTGTGCTCATCCAGCCATTCCTAAGCTGCCTGCCTAGGCCAGTAACTGGCATGGGGAAGCCTGGCCCCGAGGAAGGCAGGAGAACAGGAGAAGTGAATGTGACTTTACCAGGAGACAGTGAAGACCCCAGCCATGGGTGCCCTCCAGCCAAGCTGCTCCAGCTCCAAGCTGTCACACCTGACATTAGCCCCCTCCCTTCCTCCCCTGCACAGCAAGCAGGAGGCTCCCGGGAGCAGCTCCAAGGCACAGGGCAGCAACAGCACATGGCAGGGGGAAGACGGACAGCTGAACTGCCTGGCAATTGATAGCCTGCTGGGCGGCTGCCGCACAGGGAACTTAGGGGAGCGGGGAGCTGATGTGGGACTGCCGGTCAACCCTGGTTCCAAGCCCCCACCAGCTAGCTGCAACGGGCTGCTCTTCCTGCAAGCAGTGGACAAAGCAAGCAGCTGCCAAACGACGTTAGACGGGAGCATTGCACAACTTTAAACGAGCATGTTCCCTAATTGATCAGCACTTTGGACACCTCACAGGGATGCCAGCAGCCACCGTCCCAGCAAGTCAGTGCAGGCACGAGAGGATACAGCCCTCTAGTCACCAGAGTGGAGCGTGTTGCTGGACAGCGTTACCAAGGAGAGTGCCCAGAGGTCATCTCCCCTCCCGACTATCACCAGCAGGAAGGTGCAGGCATCAGGGTAAGGGATACTCCCTGTCCTCAGAAAGACTGGACGCCCCGGCCCTGCCTCCCCACACTTCTGAATCTCCCCAGCCGGTCAGGATTGCTGACCCCGTGGCCTGATAACCGTGCAGAGTTCCCAGGCGAGCTGTTCCTGCCCAGGACGGGGAGTGAGCCAGAGAGAGCAGCAATCCCGTGCTCAGCCCACGAGGCCAACAGCACAGCCCCCTCGCCTCCCATCCCTAGTCTGCCCCTCGTGCTGCCGTGAGTGGATCCTGCAAAGCACTTTGGGCTGTGGCTCAGACGGAAGACACTCTCCAAACTAAAAGTGTATCCATCGATTTTCAGGCAGCCGAGACCAGTAGATCATCTCGGCTGGACTCATGTAGTCCCCGGCGTGACACCTACCCCCCCAGTACTGTTGGTGTAATCCCGGAGAGCTAGGGCAAACACACTGACTGGCAGGGCCGCGTTCGCCAGTGCATCAATCAGACAGGAGTGAGAGGCCTGTTTCTATGGGGCTCTGCTGGTACCCTCTGGCGAGGCTCTGCACAGGCATTGGGCACAGAAAGGTTAACTAAAATGGGCACATTTTAAAAGCCCTTTGTAAACATGTTTCTCTCTGTATAAGCTCCTTGTTTTTCCTCCTTCCTCAGCACATATCCAAACTGCTCACACAGGAAGCCACAGCTGATGGCTCTGAAATTTGACCTCTTGGGAAGCGAGGCAGAAGGGAGGTCCTGCTGCGTGAGAAGAGTACGGAGCTAGTCCATGCGGTGTTCTGCACCAGCCCTCAGCACACTCTAACCCTCATGGCAGACCGCATTTGGCCAGGTGCACTCCAGCCAAGGCTTTCCAGAGAAGCACAAACTGCTTGTTATCGCCATTAACTGGGTTAAAGCCTAAGCCACCAGGAAAGCAGGGCCAGGTTCGTTTATGGGGTGATAATTATACAATCCAGATGATCACATGGGTCTGTTGGTGCTGCAAACCAAATAGAACATTTCAAATCTGGCCTTTGTCCAAAGGAAGATACTTTTGCAAAAATCGTTTTTTTTAATTGTTTTTCCAAAAATTTGTCCAGCTTCAACCCCACAATGTTGCCAGCTTGGACACCGTGAGGGTGGTGGGGGTTGTTTAAATTTCCATGATTGGGGGGTTGTGTTGACAATCTGGATTTTCCAGTTTAGTCAGATGGGGTGTGGGGGGGGGAGGGGTGGGAGAGAGTTGTTCAATATTGAAAATCTCCACTTTTCCAAAATTCCCATTTCACAAACATTTCCTCCAAAAGCACGATGTTTCCAGCGCAGGAATGAGTCCGTCGGCACATTCCCAAGCCCAGCACAATGCGAAACACTCCTGGATTTGGGCAAATCCTTTTCTGTGTTTTTCAATTGGCTGCAGTATCTCTGCCAGGGTGTTCTGTGCAACCCCCCACCCTGGAATCCTCCAGGGCAAAGCCAGGCCCCTGAGAGGGAAGGAACAGGCTGCAGAGAGGCCTTTTGGCCTCTAAGTGCCTCTTTTACTCAGCTGTTTAGCCATGGTGGCATTTTTCTGATCCTCTTACTGTTTTTTGTTTGTTTGCGGGATACATGTAGTGTGAGCCTCTAGCATGGTGTTTTTAAACAGTCTCCGTGCGCTTTGCTGGCATTTCACCCTGGCACGTTGCCTTTAATTTCCATTTAACGAGCCCCCTCACGTCTGTGCAATTCCCCTTTCTGAGGTTAAATGCTCCTGCGGTGGGTTTCTTTGGCAGTTCCCCCTCCAGGGCTGTGCCATGTAATTGCATCAGGGCTGCGATTCCTGAGAGTAACTACTCCAGCGTGGAGGCTGCACTGTGAGAGCGCGCACTGTGCACTGTCCTAAGCAGAGAACGTCTCCAAGGGCCGGCGCTGCGGTACCGCTCCTCGCCAACGCCCCACGGCGCTGCGGTACCGCTCCTCGCCAACGCCCCAGTCAGCCAGCAGGGGTTTGTTCTCTATTGTCACCAAAGGGGGATTAAAGGACTCTCCTTATCAGTGTGAGGGGGACGTTACCAGCATTCAGCCAGTAGTCACAGAGGCGCTGGGCATCATCTGGCCCCTCGGCAGCTCGGGGCACAGGGCAGAAAGTAAACTCTCAGCCTGCGCTGATTCAATGTACTGCCCACCTGTTGCTCCCCTCCCCCACACGGCCTGTTCCCTTTCCCCTCCCTCACCTGCCCCCCCCCCCCCAGGGGGCCTGTTTGCAACAGCAGCAGGTGCGGGGACAGAGGAGCAGGAACAATATTGACCCACTTATGTCAGGGGGTTGGATAACCTCAGATGAAAGGCCCATGGAAGCACATGACCCCATTACTCTCTGGGAGGGGCCGGCAGGGGTAGGTCAATGGCAGCAGGGGATGGGCACAGAGTCTCCTTTGCTCTAGCTCAGGGGACTGTGCGGTTAACATGATACTTCTTTTCCTTGGCGTTGTCTAGCCATTCATCTGAGACACTCCTCAGTGCAGCGGGGATCTATCCTGTCAAACTAATGATGTCTTTTTTCAGATGAGATTATAAGTTTCATTGATAAAGGTAATAATGTTGATATAATATACTTAGATTTCTGTAAAGTGTTTTACTTGGAACCACGTGACATTCTGATTAAAAATATAGATCAATATAAAATGAACATGGCACACATGGAATGGATGAAAAACTGGCTAACTGATAAGTCTCAAAATGTAACCATAGAAGGGGAATTGTCATTGACCAGGTCTGTTTCCTATGAGATCCTGCAGAGATCAGTTCTTGGCCCTACACTATGTAACATCTTTATCAATGCCTAGAACAAAAACATAAAATCATCACTGATAAAGTTTATGGAGGAGTGGTAACTAAAGAAGAGGACACTGATTGAGAGAGGTCTATATCGCTTGGTAAACTGGATGCAAGCAAACAAAAAGCATTTTAATTTGGCTAAATGTAAATGTACAAAACTAGGAACAAAGAATGTGGGCCATACTTACAGGATGGGGGACTCTATCCTGGGAAGCAGGGACTCAGAAAAAGATTTGGAGGTCATGGTGGATAATGAGTTGAACTTGATTTCCCAGTGGGCCAAAAGAGTTAATGTGATCCTGGGATGCATAAATAGAGGAATCTCCAGTAGGAGTAGAAAGGTTATTTTACCTCTGCATTTGGCACTAGTGCGACCGCAGCTGGAATCCTGCATCCAGTTCTGGTGCCCACAATTCAAAAAGGATGTTGATAAAGTGGAGAGGGGTCCGAGAAGAGCCACGAGAATGATGAAAGGATTAGAAAATCTGCCTTATACATTCAAGGAGCACGATCTATTCACTTAACAAAAAGAAAATTAAGGGATGATTTGATCACAGTCTATAAACACCTATATGGGGAACAAATATTTAATGGGTTCTTCAATCTAGCAAAGAAAGGTCTAACATGATCCAATGGTTGGAAGCTGAAGCTAGACCAATTCAGAGTGGAAATAAAGGTGTACATTATTAGTGGTGACAGTAATTAACCATTAGAACAATTTACCAGAGGTCGTGGTGGATTCTCCATCACTGACAATTTTTAAATCAAGATTGGATGTTTTTCTCAAAGATCTGCTCTAAGAAATGATTTTGGGGGCAGGTCTCTGGCCTGTGCGGTACAGGACGTCAGACTGGATGATCAGAATGGTCCCTTCTGGCTTAGACTCCATGAATCTAAGAATTAAACACAGTTCTCCAGCTAAGACCTCACCAGTGCTAAGCAGAGCAGGACAATTGCCTCCGATGTCTTACATCCAACATTCCTGTTAATACACCCTAGAATGATATTAGCCTAATTCACAACCACATCATGTTATTGACTCACATTCAGTTTGTGACACACTAACACCCCCTGCCCGATCC